CGAGCTTCTATCAGCCAGAGGATAGCTTCCATACACCGCAGCATGCTACGATGGGAAACATGGCCTCAGGTGGTGATACTAGAGCAGCCTCGTCTCCCGACCTGTGGGGAAACCTAGATGAGCATGAGGCATTTCGGGAGACGATGTGGAATTATGGTCAGCATGTTCAGTCTCAGCAGCATGGTGGCGGTCAGCCTGAGGAGCATCTTCAGTCTCAGCAGGATGATATGTTCGGTACACAGGATCAGGATGGTGGTGTTGAAGAAGATGAGCCCCAGGAGTATGATGGTAGACCTCTGCGTAACAGGGTGCCTGCGAGGTGTGGTACTGGCGGCCATCTAGCGGTGGAGCATGGTGGTCGTCGTGGTGGTCGTCAGTGAGACTATTATTATTATGTACTTCCTTATTTTTGGATTGTTATTATTATGTACTTCCTTTAGACTATTATTTTTGGATTGTTATTATTATGTACTTCATTTAGACTATTATTTTTGGATTATTATTATTATTATTAACGATAAAAAACATAACCACAACATCTCAAACAAACAACAACTTTTACATGGTAAATCAAAAGAAATACAACAACTTCTACCACCTCTCAGCCACGTCTATTACCTCTACTTCCTCTTCTACCACCTCTCGCACTTCGTTGGCCACCACTCCCTCCTCAGTTGCTCTCACTCCCACTAGCTTGGCCACCGCAGGTTGATGCATTATGTCCCGCTTGGTTACAGTTGCTACACACTTGGTGTGATGCACCCTCCCTTGGCCAGTCCATCTCGTTGTGAATCCTTGTAACTCGTGGCCTCCCCGGCTTCGTAATCATGTGCACATTAGGATGGAGAATAGGACCATTATGCTTCTTCCAACCCTTAGTTTCACCAAGAGGTGCGAAACTTGTCCCATAACAAGCCATCACTGTTTCCAGCTTGTAGACATCGTTGACAAACCTAAACGCATTAGCCCCCATTCGGTTGCAAGCTGCAATGGCATGAGAGCAAGGAATTTTATTTCCTTGAAATTTACCACAAGTGCAAAATCCTGCCCAGTTTTGATCGTCAAAGTGAACTGTGAGTGTGTTTGACCCCGTCATGTTGAAATTGTTGGGAGGAGTCTGAACTACATAGATGCCTTGACTTCGATCAAGAGCTGTCATAGAATGTCCAATTGCCTTTTGTGACCTGTACTTCATCAGCTCTTCGCACTTGGTGGAGTACTGTAAACCGCCACTTCTAATTTCTGCTCCTGTCTCCAACCTATACTTATCGAATTTCTCCACCAATCGCCAATAGGTATGCTGCACAAGAGAAGCTATAGGAAGTGCACAAATACCTTTGAAAATACCATTGACGCTTTCTGCCATGTTGGATGTCAGGATAGACCAACGACCCCCACCAATGTAGTTATCATGTGCTAAACTCCAACGAATCTAATGTTGATCCACCCAGTTATCACATGAAATATTTCTATCAGCGGCCACCTTCTTAAATTGCTCAACTTGACGATCAAACTTCTCCAACCGTTTTTCTCCGGCTAACAAAATAAACCACAACACGGGTTAGATAAATTCATGACAAAATTACATGAAAACAAATAACAAAATTAAATGAAGAAAGCTTACCGACTCGAAATAGTTGATTATACATAATTTTGCTTTTAGTCTTCCTTTGCAAATTGCTTGCATAGTGTCGCATGCACCACCTCCACTCCTAACCTCTTCCGATGTTATTCATGGCTTCATAGAGTCCTGCATGTCTATCTGAGATGATGCATACATCATTTCGATCAGTCAAACCCTGAACCTTCCTCATGAACCATGGCCAACTCTCAGTATTCTCGCTCTCCACTATGGCAAATGCAATTGGAAAAATCTTCTTCCGACCATCAAATGAGCTCTCCATGAGTAGCACTCCTTTATACTTCCCAGTAAGAAATGTTCCATCCACAACCATGACACCTGTACAATTCTTGAATCCATCTATACAAGGTCCATAAGCCCAGAATACTCGCTGAAATATTGAATGACCTGGTTGAGTGGAAGGAACTCTTACCCAATCAATCACCGATGTTGGCATTTTTCTCTTGACCACCCGCAAGAATGTTGGCAAAAAATCGTAGGATTCTTCCCAATTTCCACGCAACTTCTCCAATGCTCTTTGTTTCCCATACCAAGCCTTCTTGTAAGTAACTTGCATATTAAACTTATCTTTCAAATCGGCCTGAACAGTTAAAACACTCAGATTTGGTTGGGCACGTACCAAATGTTTGACGGCCTCAGATATCATGTCGACATCAAGATGGCGATGATCCGTCGGTTGAGTCGTACTGCTACAAGAATGCACCAACTCAGCCTTTCTCACAGTCCATTCGCCCCCAACATCTCGACATCCAAACCGCACCATCCAAGGACAATTGTCATCCTTGTGCCTCAAGCATCTGACCTTCCATATTGAAGGTGATGACTCCACCACGCCATATTGAAAGTTGCGTTGTAGTGCGTGGTGTTTAATCGCCATCTGTGCAGCTTGTTTCGAGTGAAATATCTGCCCCTTGTAGAATTCTCCTTCAAAACTATCAACAATAGGCATTGGAATTACGCCATATGAATCAGCAAGTGATAATTCTTCGTCCTCTTCATTACCCTGCAAGTAAAAATATGGAGGATAATTAAGCTGCTCTCCTTCCTCCTCCTCCTCCTCCTCCTCCTCCTCATCTTCCTCCTCTCCGTCATCACCGTCATCATAGTCATGATCGGATGGCACGCTCCATGTATCATCTTCTTCCTCTCCACCCTGATCCTCACTGAGCTCAACATGTATCTCAGCACCCAAACAATAAGGATTTTGTGCCATAAAATTCCAAAGCACATTCAAGCTATCATCATCCACAACAGGTATCGCATAATGAAATAAAACATCATTCTGCCATTCTGGAAGACGGTAGTGAAACCTGTGATCACATCACTATCTTTTACTGCTTCGTCTCTGCGCCGTATTCTCGGAATTAGATTCTCACAAAGTTTGTGATATGTGACTCTAGATGGAACCGTCAACTGAAAACTACTACCACCAACGAATTTGACGCCCAAATTATCCTCTACTTTCTCCGATTTCTACCGAACAACTAGTTCAAATCTTCTAAAATCACTACAAAAAAACAAACTCACTAATTAAAATTAAAACGGTCCAAAAACCAAGCTAAAGCGGCAGCGCCTGAGTCTCAGGTGGCCTCGCCGATTCTTATCTCTAAAACACAATATCTGTGTCAATAGTTTTTAATTGGTCATATTAGTGGTAAATTAAAAAGAAAAATAATATTTGTGTCATTAACCCACAAAAAAGTTCTTTTTATTTGAAAGTGTAATTTCTATAAAAAAGGAAAGACTAAATGAATTTGGAAATTAATAAATAGGATTCTCTTGTGGAATGATTGTGATTTGATTTATATAAATCTACAAATTAGTATTGAGCCTTGTCTAGTCGGAATACAAAATTTTTTTGAAAAATTAACTTTATTATATTTGACGGTAACGTTACGACACACATAGAAATAGAAATGTAGTGAATTATTATATAATGGTCATTGTTCACGGGGTCCAGTCAACTATCACTAGTCGTCGGATTTTGTTGTCTGCATTATAGATTTATAGTGTACTTTCTCGTGTTTATTGTGCGTTTTTATGGTTTGCTTTCTCGTGTTTCCTATATACATTTTTTGTTTGCTTTCTCATGTTTTTTTTTTCTTTTTGTGGTTTGCTTTATCGTGTTAGTGGTCTACATTAAGAGGTTTCTGGTGTGCTTTCGAAATATTTTTGGTTTACTTTGTGGAGTTTCTTGTATGTTTTAATAGATTTGTGGTCTGCATTATGAGGTTTTGTGGTTTGCTTTACAATGTTTGTGGTTTGGATTATGAGGTTTCTGGTGTGCTTTTGAAAATTATGTGATTTGCTTTGTAGGGTTTCTATTATGTTTCAGGAGACTTGTAGTTTGCATTAGGAGGTTTCTGGTATGCTTTTGTGGTTTGCTTTAACGTGTTTTTGGTTTGCATTAGGAGATTTCTTGTGTGCTTTAAAAATATTTGTGATTTGATTTATGGTATTTCTAGTATATTTTATGAAATTTGTGGTTTACATTAGAAGATTTGTGATGTGTTTTAGAGACATTTGTGGTCTGTTTAATAATATTTTTGTTATTATTTAGAAAGATTTGTGGTATACATTAAAAGCATTTTTTGCCATATTTTTGTTACCACTACACAAAGAAGCTTTTGCTACTGGTCGCTTTGCTTCATGGTAGTGCAGAGCCACTGTATGTGAAGAGATTACAGGAAGATGAAGTGGCTACAGAACTGGTCCCCCACCACTGTCAACTTAACAAGCTTCTCATAGTTAGTTTAATTTCATAAGCTTCCACCCAGACCACCTTTTGTCCGATCCTCGATCTAAGCCGAACCCCTCTCTGGGCGGCATTGACGGTCGTAATCCCTTCAACCGTGTACCTGCAAAACAAACGCGAAGTAGCCTCACTAGATCTCTCACCTCGATCACAAGAAACTCTCCAATTCCCACGCTCTCTCACTCTAAGCGGTCTCACTCTCTCTATCATGGCCGGCAACAAGCAACGTGGAGTACCAACTGGCCGTATCACGCGACGAAGGGGAAGCGGCGGCATCGCAATCCATTAACGTTCTAGATTCCTCGTCGAAATCTGCAATCTCCTCGAAGAAGTACGCGAGCAGTGAGATCCCCATGGAATCATTCCTGAACGTCGACGGAGCAGCAGCGGTGGAGGCGCTCCCGCCACCACGGGCCTTTTGGGGGAGAGGAGGGGTTGAGACGATGGAGATGGGGATCGGAAATGGGAGAAAGGATGGGATAGCTCGCCAGCAGTATTCTTGATAAATTTTTTAATATTTGTTTGACTATTGTCATTTTACTGTTATGCCCTTATTGTTATAATAACAACAAATATAGAGTTGTTAGTTTGTTATAGTATCTGCCCCCCTCCTCCTCTGTCACTGCCGACATCATCACTTATATGTTCAGTTCACGCTGAGCGATTGAACCTCTCTACCCAAACTCAACCGGCGAGAGAAATGGACTGCTTCGTGATGACAAGCTGCCTGCTCTGCCTCCTCTTCACCTTCACCGCCCTCCGTTTCCTGGCAAGAAAACCCAACAAAACACCGGCCAAACTCCTCCCGCCGGGCCCCGCCCGGCTTCCAATCATCGGCAACCTCCACAACATGGGCGACCAGCCCCACCGATCGCTGGCCGATCTAGCCAAGGTCCACGGTCCCTTGATGAGCCTCAAGCTCGGCCAGCTCACCATCGTCGCTTCCTCCCCTGCCATGGCCAAAGAAATCCTCCAAAAGCACGACCAAGTCCTCTCCAACCGCCACACCATCCTCGCCGCGCAGGTCCACGACCACCACATGTTCGGCTTCCCGTGGCTCCCCGTGCAGTCGAAAGAGTGGAGAAACCTCAGGAGAGTCTGCAACTCGTACATCTTCGCCACCCAGAAGCTGGATTCGAACCAGGAGCTGCGGAGGGAGAAGATTGAAGAGCTCCTGCAAAGTGTTCGTCGAAATGCGTGTGAGGGGAAAAAAGCGGTGGATGTTGGGAGAGAGGCGTTCAAGGTTAGCTTGAATGCTCTGTCGAGGACGATTCTCTCGTTGGATCTGGCCGACGTCGAGGGATTGGAGACGGCCAGGGAGTTCAAGGAAATTACGAGGGGGGTTATGGACGAGGGAGGGAAGCCCAATTTGGGGGATTTTTACCCTGTTGTGGCGAAGCTGGATTTGCAGGGGATACAGAGGCGCTCGAGGGATCACTTCGGCAAGGCCTTGGATCTGTTTGGTTCGGTGATTGATGAACGGTTAAGGAAGCTGAAGTCGGGGAGCCATGTCTCCGGTAACGACGTGCTCGACTCACTGCTGGCCATTGGGGATGAGAATCCTGAGGCTTCCATGAATCCGCTTCGCATCAAACACTTGTTCACGGTGAGCTACGATTTTTTACACAGAATTAATTTATTTCATTAGCCACCGTATGTGTTAGAACCGGTGTATCCAGCCGGAAAACTTTCTACCGGGACATGAATCGATGAGCGGGTTTAGTGGTAGGAAATGGTTGAATCATGATTAAACTTCGTTTTCGGTACGAATTACGATTGTTGTTGACTTTTTAGTACAACCTCCGATATGGTTTCACTCGTTAGATTACGAGTGTGATTAATGTTATTAAGATGTGATTTTTTTTTTGGTCGGAGTTATTAAGATGTGATTGAGATTACGACTCTGATTAATGTTATTAAAGATGAAATAGAAAGTAATTATTAACACGCAGATTAAAAAGGGATTAAAGACAGCAAAAAATATTTTCTTTCTCGTAAAGCATCGTACATGGATAATATTGTATGATCGATACTAATGGAGTACAGATCCATCATCAATTTTTTTTTCTTATATCTTGGTTTGACCACTAGGATCTCTTCATGGCTGGGACCGATACAACTTCAACCACACTAGAATGGGCAATGGCAGAGCTTCTCCGCAATCCTACCACACTCACTAAAGCCAGGGAAGAGCTGGACTGTACGATTGGAAAAGGCAGTCATCTTCAAGAATCAGACATCCATCGGTTGCCTTATCTGCAATCAATAATCAAAGAGACCCTCAGATTACACCCATCAGTTCCTTTTCTGGTTCCCCACAAGGCGGGAGCCGATGTGAAAATCAATGGTTTCACGATACCCAAAGGTGCACAAATTCTAGTCAATGCATGGGCTATAGGTCGGGATTCGGCGACATGGGACGATCCAAAATCCTTTATCCCTGAAAGATTTATGGGTTCAGAGGTTGATGTAAGAGGAAAGAACTTTAACCTGATCCCATTCGGTGCTGGAAGAAGGATTTGTCCTGGATTACCGTTGGCAATGAGGATGTTACATATGATGTTGGGTTCGATGGTGCTTTGGTTTGACTGGAAGCTAGCAGATGGGGTTGATCCAGAGTGGTTGGATATGGAGGAGAAATTTGGGATCACTTTACAGAAGGCCAAACCGTTACTAGCGGTTCCTACTCCAAGATCATGAGAGATGATTGTGTGATTGAACATTTTGAGAGCACTCTTTGCTTGAAAACTATTGTTATTGTGTTCATTGGGTATTTGTCAGGTTCATGCAGAGAAAAATCGTTGTTGAATTTGGCTGTCCCTAGTTGCACACCCCTAGTTAGAAGTGGAATGCCTAATTTAGCAAGTCATTATATTTTGTAATTGCTAACTAAAATGCTACCTAGATGCCACCTCACTTTGGGCGGCCACAAGTGGCCAATAAACCATGGTAAAGGAAACCGGATCGTACCGGCCGGTTGAACCGGTAAAACTGGAAACCGGCGCCTGGCCGATACGGTAGCCGTTTTGTAGTAAAGGAGCCGTTCCGGGAGGTTTTTCCGGTAAAACCGGTTTAATTCAAAAAATCGCCCGGTTTTGGTCTAACCGGGGGTAAGCTGCTGGGAAGAGTTGAGCGGCGATCGAGAAGCTATAGGTCGGAGACTTCAACTGGCTGGTGGAAACAGGGGAGATCGGCGGAGACGCAAAGGAGGTCGACGGGATCTGTGAAGCTACCAGTTGTTGATGATGATGATTTTCTGTTGAGCAATTTCTTCGGGGTGATCGAAAGCGAAACCAGGACCATCGATTTGGGAAGCAGATAAAACGAAGAAAGTGAAGGGGGATTCACAAGTGGGTTTGGAATTGGATTGAAAGAATTTCCAATTCACAATCACAATAGAGAAGAAGAGGATAAAGCTCGACTTTGGATATGGGTACCGGGAAGGCTAAAGCTTCGATCAATCGCATGCAGCTACAAGCTCCCCCAAGCCCAGAGAGGGGGGAACGATTTCTTCTGGTTATTGATGAGAGAGAGAGAGAGAGTAGCGGCCCGGAAGAAACAAAAGGGAAAATGGGGGTTCACGTGTGGTGGGGAATGGTGATTTAGGAATTTATTTAATGCTAAATATATATTTATCTTAAATGTAATTACTAATATGTTACTTAAAAATTAGATTATAAATCAGTCATCAAATTTCTTAGTCATTACATTATATTCGTGTATTTTAATTATTATATTGCATAATATTTTATAGTTATATTAAAATAAAAAATTAATTATAATATAATAATGACGCTCTCTCTACGCTCTGAATATGTAGTTAATTCAGTAATGTTGCAGTCAACAGCATTTGAACGATTATGTAGTTAATTCAGTAATGTTGCAGTTTGTTGAATTTTATATTACATATGCTTATTTAGTTTATTAAGGTTTGTTATCCGGTATATTCCGGTATTATTCCGAAACGGTATCACAAATCTGCCGGTACGGTTTTTTAACAAAAAAATATTATTTAATTACAAAAACGGTATTTTGCCGGTACACAACGGTTGAACCACGGTAGTACCACAAAATACCCTACCACTGGCGGAGCCGGTATGACTTCCGGTATGGTTTCCTTTACCATGCAATAAACATGCTCTAGCTATCAGTATCAAACAACAACGGTGATAGAATGTTTTAACTAAGATGTTTGAAATAGTCGGAAGCTAATAGTCCACCACATGTATTGTTGTTATTATATGACACTATAAAATTGTCCTAAGATAGTACTTTATCATTAACTACATCATTAACATCGTTCTACATTAGTTTGTAAATCGGTGCAAGGAAAAAGCCTAAAGGCTCTCTCTTAAATTGCACGAATGACTCACTTCCATCAATATATAAAAGCGGCTTGGTTTCATACCGCTCTCAACTACTGACTCTACCTCTGAAAGTACTCTCCTGCTCAAAGTTTTGGTATCGCGCCTTATCTCAAGTTCTCAACGGGACGACCACCGAATCAAAATCTCTCAGAAGTAAACCTCTTGGAAATCTCCATCCTGACCTCCAACTCGACTCCTCCAATGAATTTCAAGCTCGCCTTGTCTAGTAAAACTCTTTGACTCGACTCCTCCAGTGAATTTCAAGTTTGCCTTGTCTAGTAAAACTCTTTGATAGTACTCCAAAATCCAGCCAATGGACGATCTGATCGTCGGGACCTACAATGGAGAGAGCCAGAAATGAAAATCTCATATTCTCTTAGAAAATGTGTGTATGATATCGGTTCAAACCTTTAACAGCTGGAACAAAATAATCAATTATCAACTTAAAAAAAAACATTTTGCAGAAATTGATGGTTACGAAATTTGAAAAGAATGCCTCGTAATAATCAATAAAGTAGCACTTCTCCAACTAGGCTAAAACTAAATATTAGTATACATGGTACATGTGGGTATACAACGTAAAAGTCCCCGAATTTTGTTTTTTCTATTTATGAAAATCACTTATATTAACATTGGATGACTTTTATTGTCATAAAATACTTGATTTCTACTTGTCGGACATAGTTACATACTCACATAATCATTTGGTAGGAATATATTAGAATAAATGTGTAGACTTTGAAATTTATAACTTAAGTACTCATACTTGTTAATAGTAATATATAAGGTTAATACATTATTTTGGACCGAAGTATTACTATATAATCAACTTTGATCCGCGGTTTTAAAAATTAACATCCTAACCTCAACTATGTCGCATATAAATTCAATTGGTCGGGCGCGAGATTTGACTGTGAATTTGAATGGTCAATGGTCTAACTCACTGTCACATTAGAGCCGAATAAATAAAAAATTCGAATTTAGATTTATTTAAATATATCATTTTTATAATAATAAATTAACCATAAAAATTAAAAATTAAACAAAAAAAATAAAGCCTTTGGATGAGATTTTGATAGGATTTCTGGTTACCTTTTTTGGAGTGATTTCTGGTTACTCAAACGTACGTTTTTTTTAATGAAAGCAAGTAGCTGCTCCTTCCCCGAAGTTTCGTCTCCCAGAAAAGATTTCGATCACTGTCTTCCTCTCCGCACCATTCTGTCAACGTCGATCTGCCGCTTCGCCGTTGATTCCTTTGGTTGGGCTAGCTGTGATCCGCCATTTCTTCTACCCGCAACATCGATTTGAAGATGGACATGAGGTTCTGGGTTGTGGCCCTTCGACTTCTCTTCTCTCTGATATGGAAGGAACGCGGTGGAATTGTCTGGAGGCCTGAAATCGGTTTGTGGGAGAGAGGATAGGAGGTTGTCAATTCGATTGACCAACCGTCACCATCTGTACCTGGGAAGTTCTTGACTTCCCGGAGATGCAATTGGGGTCCACAATTGGATAGTGATGTTCTTCTTCTCCCTGATATGACCCCGTCTCTACTCTGCTATGCTCTGTGGACATATCTATTCTTCCCCAATTTAACAGCCTGAGATCGTAGCGGCGAGGCAAGTTGGGACGCTCCGGTCAGAGGAAAATCAAAACGGTGGCGCATTTGAGGCGACGACGATTTGGGAACAAAGTCTCCGGAGTCTAGGGTTACTTCAGCGCATGGAAGAGAAGACAGACGGCGGTTACCTGAGGTAACTGAACGGACGGTTCTGGTGAGATCTGCTGCAAGTAATTGGTAACTGTGTTTTTTAATTAATTACAATTTCACACCTTTTGGAATGGCGTCACTGCTCCAGGTAAGTAACTCAAACAGACTCCTCAGTTTCCTTTTTTTACATTATTGCAATTTAGTCATTTTTTATTTCCTTTATCTTTTTAATTAACTGCTATACATTTCCTTCATTATTTATTAGTAATTTTTATTTGTTTTCTTTTGATACTTAGCCTCCCTTTTATTCATTTTATTTGTCAATTTCATCCGTTTTATTTTTTTGCTTTTCTTTAACTATTATTAAAAAAAATTAATTTGACATAGTTTTGGATTCGGTGTATCCGACTAAGCCTTAATGGCTTGTTTAAGTCCATTTGGTGGAGCTTAGTTGCCTACAGTGGGGACGCTTGTGTGTTTTGTTTGTTTGTTTGTTTGTTTTTTTTTTTTTTGTAGGGGCACGCAGAAGAGCTCCCGTTATCGGAGAGACTTCCTCAGACAGGTGACTTGGCTCATGATCAGGATGGAACTATCTTGCAGGATGCTCAGAGCTCGGCTTCTCTCTGTAGTTGGGTTTCTTACTGTTTTGTTCTCCGCTGTCTCAATCGGGCTGCCCATCATGTGGCATAAAAGACCCTCTCATCGGGAGTTCGACTATTGGTCGACTCCCGCGCTCTTTTTAATTTCTCTGTATGTCTGATTTTATAACAACTGACTTTGCGGGGGAAAAAACGTATGTTTTTTATTTATTTATCTCTCTCGATTCAATTCCATCAGTTTCTTCTGTCTTTGAATTACTTTTCCTCTCTCAATCCTTCAAGAGCAAGCTCCTCAACCTCAAGAATAAGAATAGAAAAACAACTCTGCATCTCCCTCTCCCTCTTGTTGATCTCGGAATTTCAAAATTAAGCAATTGTGGTCAACACCTCACGAATCGGATTCGAAGGATTCGACAAGCGTCTCGAGATCTCCTTCTCGGAGGCGCCGATTTACAAGGACCCCAACGGACTTGGCCTCCGCGCCCTGGCTCGCCCCCAGATCCACTTGTTCCTCGACGCGACCAAGTGTTCCATCGTCTCGAGCCTTTCAAACGACAAGCTTGACTCGTACGTCCTCTTCATGTTGACTGGCAGAGTGGGAAGCTCAGAGTCCATAGGCGGAGGCAGGGCATTAGCCCTTGTCACGGGACACAGGTAAATTTTGGAGTGTAAAAAAATACTCATATATATTTATATTGATGATGGAGCAAACAATTAAAGGTGGTATTATAGTATTTTATCAGTACAACACAACTTATTAGTTTTTTATAAATTGACAAAAATTAATTTATTATACTATAAACGAACTTTTAATTGCAATAAAGACCTAATAAAATCTTTTTTCTCCTTATGTTTATTCGTTTTCCCCCCAACAACCCTGAAATTTTTCTGCGACAACGGCAACTTCACTAGTTTTGATTCTACCAATTTGCAACTACAAATGTAGAAAGAACATTTTCAGCTTTGAGTTATATTAAGAACAAGTTTTTAAGTCGAATTGGCAACCAGTTTGCTAATGATTTTTTAGTGCGATACATTAAAAGAGACTTACTTAACATTGTAGACAACAAATGTTTTGTATTTCTTTCACAATATGAAATTCCGTCGTGGTTGCTTAATTTTATTAGTCGATAATTTTTTATATATGAATGAATTATTTGGATATAATTAGTTTTAATTTTATTTATTGAATAATTATTAATTAAATATTTATATATTTATATTATGAAAAGCGAACTTGGGTAGTTTCGAATCCTGCCTCCGCTTCATACCAGAACCTAGTGAGCGAGAATTTGGGCCTTATCGGTACTTGGCAAAGCTGGAGGTTTGGTCGTGCTGGGTCGGGTCGACCCAAGCGTAGATGAAGACGAAGCGGT